CTAAAGGGAAAACCTAAATACATTCCTGAACTTATATTTATGGATTAGCATCTTTTACTAATAGTGTTCTCATGAAGTTCATTTGAATATTGTAAGTGACTTGATATTACAACATATATTCATTCTTGAAATGAATAGAAAACTAGAACTCTTAAACTTGATGACTAGATAATCTTGTGGCTGCAGAGTTAATTCAATTACTTAGATTTTTTTCTGAAAATCTCACTATAATATTTATTTAAATCAAACTTATAGTATTTCTGAATTAAAACTTTATTACAATAGATCATAAGTTTTATATAGTACTAAAATTACTTGAGGACAAGTAATAGTTAAGTTTGGGGGATTTTGACCAAAGGAAAATATGTTGAGATTTTCATACCTATTTTATACTCTTTTTGATGATATTGCACTTTAAAGAAAGATATTTTTTATGTTTTGTTGCAGGAATGATAAATTAGGGTCAATGGAGCAAAAAGATGCAAAAAGAAGCGAATTTGGAGCGAAAATGACCAAAATGTGGAGATTTTAACTAAGGCGCTGACGACGCCATCGACGCTGCCGATGGTGAGCTTTTCCCGAGGCTGCAAGACGAAATTCTCCAGAAGCCTGCCGACGGCACCATCAAGGCCACCGACGACGAGATCGACGGTTATGTGTACTTGTGCATTGGATAAGGCTGGATTTTGGAGGGTGCTTAAGCAACTCTTGGGAAAACTCATTCACATCATTCAAGGGAAGATTTTGGCCGAAAATAGGAGAGTCTAGAGGAGGTGGAGAGAGCTCTAGAGTTCCTGGAGGTTAGAAAGGTTCCATTAGAGTGTGAAAATTGTGAGGAATTCTTTGAGAGATTGTAAGAGTGGAGGGAAAGTGAGAAATTTCTTCCTCCTTGTTATTTCGAAGAGGAGTTCTGTGTGCTGTATTATAGATGTTGTAAAGAAAGGAAGAGATTCAGAGGAACTTCAAAGAGTTTTCTTGGGGAGAAATTAGAGGATCCCCCATAATTTATTTTGGCTGAATTTAAATTTGTATGACTTTGAATCGGCTGCTGCCAGCCAGCAGTCGTTGTCTCCTTCGCACGCAGTTGCCACCCAACCCCATGAGATTTGCATTTTCCCCATGAGATCTGAGTAGTTTTCTCTGTCTTTCTCCTTGTCTAGAGATTTGTGAAATGATGATTTAAATTGGTAAATCCATGAAAATATTTAAGAAATTATGATGATCTTTTCACTTTGATCTTAATTTACTTTCAATCTGGCCAATTGATTTGAACGTGGGAGCTCCGAAGTGAGAGCCGGTATCCTCCCAGCCTAGCCGCAGAATCTGTAACCAAGCATAGGATTAGTCAATGTTCTTTATGCCTGGACCAAAGGGTAAAGAATAGGCATGCTCCTATTTGACACATTATAATTTGAACTAATTCACTTTATCCATTTCACTATAATTTCTTGTCAAGGAGAATGATGTTTTCTTATATATTGAATATCACAATTTTACCTTCATTAGCATATTTAGTTATTTTATAGATAAAATTACATATTTATCTCAATTGCCTATTATCGACAGATAAGCAAATTGAACTTCGTTGTTGTAATTGAAGTATTGCTTTTTATAAAATCTTAGTTCGTAGTTCTAACTTCTCCCTGTGGGATCGATATCTAGGACTCCATTAGAGCCCTATATTACTTGAGCGATACATATACTTGCGTTGACAAATTTGACTTTAACATTATTGAATATTATATTTATACATCTTTATGAAATTAAACACATATATAAAGTCGCGATCAAGTTTTTGGGCGTTGTTGTATTTGTCGATTTACAAAAAGTCGGTCAAGTTCCAAATTCTTGGGGAAACTCTGTTGAAATCTCACAAGAGACTCTCCAAGCATCCCTAAACTTAATCCAACAATCTTTCCCCTTTGATTCCCACTATGAGAGCCCAATTTTGAGCTCAAACTTTCAGCTCAGACCATGACATCTCTCCAAAGTCCACCAAACTCAAATTAATTGTGCACACATCATCCCTAAAGTAAGAGGAGTTGATTCCTCATCAAAGCCTCATCTGAAACAGCCTCTAGAATAACTCTAGACCACACATGAAATCCACCTTGATCAAAATCATATATAGACAATTCACCAGGGCTTGAGACTTCATCCGAAGGTTCATTGGACTCAACCGAAGCTACCACAACCATCTTATTATTGAACAGAGGAGAATAATGTGGATTGAAAATAAAAATTATTTTCTTATTCCTTGTTTTTTAATGAATTAAATACCCTATGAAGTATTTTAATTTATTATGATCAAACTTTGTTCACCATGACTTGAAATTTGGAGGGTTTGTTTCTCATTACAGAGACTATGTCCTCTGACTTTTCCAAGGTTAGAGGACATCTCTATGCTTCTAACCTTAATTTCCAAGCTAAGGTGATCATTTTGGCTTATTTTAATTATATAAAGTAAAGGATCATTTGGAAAATTATAGGAATAATTATAGTAGGTTTCCTATGGTCAGAGAAGTCTAGAAAAAATATCATGATGTCTTGAATTATCTTGTAAATTTCTATATTTAATTAAAGGTAAATATATTGTGTTAATTTATGTAAATTATATATGTTGACCTCATTTTTTGCTGAGATCTAGTTTTTCCTTTTTAGTAGCTTAGGTTTAGCCATAAGAATTTCCTATTGACCATTCCTAGAAGACTAGAAAAGGAACCCTCACTATTAGAAATTTCAAACTCTTCTTTACTCAACTTGAAGTTCCACATGTTGGTCCTAACCTCTAGCACTTAGTAGGTGGGGTCAATATGGAGGAGCTCAAGGGGTGTCCCCTATAGGATGGGCAGAACTTAGGACTAACCCTGGGTGATCTGGTTTTGGTGGGGCTAACTAACACACTACACTTTTTCACTACACTACACTTTTTCACTTACCCCAGGCCCTGTGATCCCTTAAGTTGGTCACCTGACTCCTTTTGGAGAGCTCATATGAATGAACCTATACCCCTATTCTTTGGCTAAGAGGGTTAGAACCAACATAGTGAGCATCCAAAATGAGTCTTCACATGAGTCTTCACATGGCTCCTATCTTCACATGGCTCCTATTAGTTTGACATGGTTTCATGGCTTACTTGTCCATTCTAACCCAAAATCACCAAATTACGAAAACACCCATAAAATCCTAATTTTTGCCAAAAATCCCAAAATTACCCAAAATACCCAAATTTGCCCAAAAATCATCTCAAACCACTCACCACTACCTAAATTGAACAAAATCCAAAAAAATCATCAAATTCCCAAAATACCCCCAAAAAGTTGACTTGGGGTGCAGGTGCTATGTATCGTGTCTCGATGCTGACATGTAGCACCATGGCCTACCACGTGTCAACTCTACTGACAATCATATTTGATAGCGCTGTAATGCTGAACCTTGGTGCTACAGTGCTATCGATTGATCTCAGAGGGTCAATTAGGGGGTAATCTCAACTCCTCAGTGAAGGGCTGATATGCCAAGGCATCGACAAAGGGCATTACGGTGCCAAAATGTGGCACCATGACTCTGGAATTAAATCTTGAGAGGCCCAACTCTCAAGTTCTTCTAGGATGCAATGCTACAAGGCAAAGTCACAACTCTATAACAGTGACATCTATGAGCTAGATACTAGCATTGTGTCGCTAGGTTAAAATTTGACATTTTTCATATCATTCAAAAATATTCAACCACATTCACATATTACTTGGAATAGTTCAAACATTCAGTTTGCTCATACCCATGCCACAATACTAAACATTTTCAGTAAAATAAGAAAAAAGGTTTATACTCGAGTTTGCCAAAAAGAAAATACAATCCCTGATCAAGGGAGTACATAATTAGGGAAATAAATATAGCAAAACAAAGAAAAATATGTGGAGCCAAATGCTCCTCTAATGTCATCTCATTATCATCATCGTCATTGTTGTTCATCTTGTCGCTTGGTTTTACCTTCTAGTATAACATGTACTAAAGAAAGGGATCGATGCAGTTAGGTAAGCCCTTGCCAAAATATTTCCTAAAAACCTGTGCTTGTAAATCAAACTATAGGCTTTTGGTGCATTAATTGTAGGGCCAAACAATTTTTAAATTGAACACTTTAATGGAGAAATCAAATTAGCTCAAAATCATCAAGACACTTAAATGTTAAACAGAAGGCCCATGATTAAAGGATTCAACATGTCGCTCGATAGATTTTTTCAGAGGTTGGCTAATTTTACCAAAATGCTCATCTAAAAAAAAACTATAAACATATCTCATTCTTCACATGAAGGGTGAAAAGAAGAGAGAGCATGCTTATGACTAACATATAACTCATGAAGAAAAGTGCATGTGAACGATCACCAGTCGTTGCCGACCATCACCAACAGTTGTTGCACCCAACTATGATTACTGTAGTCACAAACTATAACTGTTGCAGCAACACATATTGCTATTGTAGTCCAGTTATGATTTTTATTTTTTTGAAAGATGGCAGTCCACTTGACTGATAATTTGTTATTTGAGGCGAGCCTCGAATCTGGGACATGAGCATACTTACGACACAACTGCCAAACAAATTGTCAACTAGTTCATACGCCCCATTATGACTGTTGTAGTTAGTTTTTCTAATCTCATCTTCCACAATTCTGAGAAATTGTAGAAATCTATACTTTAAATTTCCAAGTAAATTATTTTGATTGGGCCAAATTCTTTGTTTGTTATTTTCAGAGTTTATTTTATCTTGCATCTCTATATATGTGTGCTAAAATATATATATTGAGCTAAGCTTAAGTTTTTTATATTGTCGAGAATTTTCTAATACTCAAGGAGATCATATGCAATCAGAACCAATTTTTTTGAGGTGGAATATTTTAGATTGAAATGAAATTCTAATCATATTTTTTAGATACAAATATAACATCCAACTGCTGAATTTACAAGTCCTAACAATTTTCTTCAGACCCAACCATTAAAGAAGACGACTCGAATCCCATGTTGCCGCGAATTGCAAAAGGATCCGCGGCATAGTGCTCTTGCTCAGGTCGGGAAGTAGAGCGGCTACCTTTTGCCCTTGCTTGAAAAAATGGAACAAATTCGATGGCGGCGAAGTGGCTAGGGAGATTCCGGCGAGTTCAGATTCGTTGATCCATTTGACCCAGTTGGAACGAGAAAAGCATCGCGAAGAAAAACGAACGAGAGAAGGCAGCAGCTGTGGCTATGGGCTGGGGATGGAAGATCTACGAAGGCGCGGTGGTGATTGGATCACTATGCCTTCTTGGCTGGGCTGGGCTCTGGTTCCTGAACCGCCGTCTCTATAAAGAGTACGAGGAGAAGCGTGCACTCGTCCAGATACTCTTCAGCCTTGTCTTTGCATTCTCCTGCAACCTTTTCCAGCTCGTCCTATTTGAGATCCTCCCGGTTCTATCCAAAGAGTAAGCACGTTCCCTTGTCCATTTTGCTTTTGAGTAATGGTTTCACATTCCATGCGCTTGAGGGTTAAGGTTTTGGGGGGAATTTTGGTTGAATTGTGGATTGTCTCACGTTTCAGTGTCCTGCTGGTTGAGAACTTGTGCGCTTTTGCTAGTGACGTATTGAGGATGTTCTCTGTAATTAATTTATACATCAATGCCACATTCATTGCTTGTTAATGTCCTTCGTTGTAGCTTTGGGCATAATTTGTCGTCCTGCTTTAGGGCCTAGTAGTCTGCAAGACTTCTAGGACCAAAGGCTTGGCGGGTTCTTGAGGATTTAAGTCGTAGAAATCTTGGTGTTGAGTTATAGCAGCAATATTGGCTTAATTTAATGTATTTTCTTGTTCTATTGGCTCAGTTGAAATCTGTTGCTCTTTTTGCTAGTGATGTGCCGAGGATTAATGAATGTAATGAATTCAGACTGCTGTGTAACGTACATTTCTTTTCACTATGCTTGGTTGTGGTTTGTTTGCAGTGAGGTATTTATCTTTTAGATTTGATAGTATGAAAGTCTTCTAAGGGTATCAAATGTTTGCCCCATGAAATCACTGCCTGACCAGTGCATAGATTTATTGAAAGGAGCTGGCAATTGTTGCTTGATTTGATTGATTCACATACGCTTTCAGTTTTTTGTCGGTTGGGATTTGGTGGATGTATTGCTAAAGATGTATTGATATTGATCACTCCAATCAATTCAAACAACAATGTCGTACCCATTCCTTCTCATTGCACTTCTTTGTAGCTTTGGACATTACTAGGAATTTTAATTTTTTTCTCGATTGTCAAGGTTTCTTAAACTAGCATTAGGCATTTGCTTGTTAGTTATCTTCGGAATTGCCCCATGGAATAAATCCCATCTCTGTTGTCCAGTTAATTTTAAGCTGTAGGATTTCGCCAAAACCATAAATTCTCTTTGAAAAAAATATTGAATTAATTCTGCAGATAGTGGGAACAGATGATTGGATTGTAGAGATACACATTACTAACATACATGACAATACACAATAACAACCAACCATTAAAGAGCTACTTAACCATAAAATATGTAAAACATCATCCAAATCAAACACATAAGAATATCCAGTGTAGCAGTACTATTAAAAACAAGAAATTAACATAGAAATAATGCTATCTGATACTTGTTTTCAATTAATCACTTTTTTAAATTAATATACTCTCTTATTTTTTATTTTAATTCAAAGAATTTTTTTCTTGAAACAAGCAGTTTAACAACATATTAAGTTAAACAATAACTTAATGAATAATTATAAATTTTCTATGTACTGAATTCTTATGCATGTGCTCAAATATGTATGTGATTCAAATGATAAAACAATTAAATTATATTTTATTACTACTTAAAAATAATTACATTTCTCTCTAATAGAGGCAATCAAAAAATGAATGAATTGGAGGTTGTGCCAAATGATTAACTAATGAATAAGACACTATACTAGAGGAAGTGAATGCTATAGATTAAGCGGCAATATCACAATATGAAGGTAAAGATGAGTATTTATAATTATGCTCGTACCAAATGCAGTTATTGTATATATAAAATGCATGTTTTAATTTAATTAAAATCATATTTAAAATTTCCAAATCATTTCAGGCATTGATATTTTAATTGACTATTTGATTTCAACACAGTCACTTGAATAATGTAACATATCTTTAATAATGTATATAGATTTCTTGTACTATGAAAAGACTAATATATATTCTCAATAATTTAAAGAAAATGAAAATTAAATGAATTAAATGTTTAATTTAATCAATCGTCGCTTCCTTATGGTACTAGTTGGGGATGTTATTATACATATATATGAAAATAGAAATGGTTGTATCATAATTGCTACCAAATGTTAGGTGGTGCTTTTGAGATTTATTCTTAGATGAAAATGCATTAAAAAATAACATAAACGTTCTAATTATTTAAGGATTTGAATAAAATAGAATTTAAATAAAAACTTTTTTGAATTAAAATGACATACATATGATAGTATGTTTATAGAAAAAGAAGTTTAAATGAAAAAAAGTATCGGACAACATTGTTTCTATGTTTGTGCTCTTTCTGTATTATTATTATAATATACTTGATTTTTTGTGTATTTGGTTTGGATGTTGTATTACATATTTTGTTGTTAGTGGCTCATTAATGGTTGTATGTTACTGTGGATTGTTATTTATATATTACTATTGTGTATCTCAATAGTCCGACTGTCTATTTCCGCTATTAAAATTCTAAACTTCGAGCCGGATTGTGACAGATTGGATAGTTGAAACGGGTTAATTGCACCTATGCCATTATTAGGGTAATTTGAGGGAATCTGAATCCATTTTTTTTTCCAAATTTGTGTATATTCATGCAATTATTACTTCTTCTTACCAGAAACATCAGTAATGAGTTGGTTACTTTGTTTGCAGTGCGAGGTGGATAAATTGGAAGATTGACCTATTTTGTTTGATTCTATTGCTGGTTTTTGTGCTACCATATTATCATTGCTATCTAATGCTGAGAAATAGTGGTAAGTTTTAAGTTTCCCTTATCACCTGCTGCTGCTATTGCTCCTGTTATTCTTATTTATTTTCTTACTGCTATCCTTTCAATTTTAATTTAATGTTATTGATGTTACTTGACTTGCCTATCTCTTTATGCATCATCATTATCTTCATAATCAACCAGTAGAATTTTTCTACTTATTTGGGGTTGGCTTCTTTAATCTTTAATCTTCATTTATTTTGTTAAGCGCTGCATCTCTCGTTCTACTATAAACATTATCTTAGTGTGACTATGACAGTTGAACTTAGAGTGAATAAATTTTAGCTGTCACAACCAAGCTTGCAAAGACAGCTCATGAAATCGTCTACAAGTTAAATAAGTGATGTAAACTTTTGATTGATGCAATGTTTAAACTTGAGACATGCACTTTTAACAAGAAATTTCAGCACAAGAAGGCTGGCAATATATAGATGATGAGTGTGATTCACTTGTTATTGCTTCAAATATCTGGTTATGCAAAAGCATGATATAATAAATGGCTAATCAAGTTTTCAAAGGGCTAGGAGATCTAGAGCATTTTTTTCCCCAATCTTCCATATGTTATTTAAACATTGATCGAGTCAAAACCATATAAACAAGGCGTATGTGCGAGCTCTTAACCAAGTACAGGGTTCGCCAAGGGGCTAATGCATACAACCTTACCTCTCATTGCAAAGAGTCTTTCTATGACTCAAACCTATAACCCCAAGCTACAATGGATGCAATTGATCATGTCTCCATGGCCACCTTCTTTTGAGTGGTGGGTGCGTTCTATCGTTGGGAAAGTAATTTCATTATAAATTTATGTATTGCAATGTTTGAACAGGTTAAAAGCAGGATGGAGGAGCTACTTTTTGAAGCTTTAAGTTTGTGAACTTTAATTGCCATTTCTTGGTTTATATGAATCCATTAATATAGTTCAATTAGAGTTTGATTGATTTCCTTCATATATTTATTTCCATGATTGAGAATGTATAATATAAGATGCAACGTTTAGTTTTCTATTGTTATGCATTAATTAGTTACAAAACTAACAAACATCCCCTCAATGAACTACCACATGTCACAGCCAATTAATTGACACTTTAATGAAAGAAAAGAAGGGTAAAAAATGATCTTAATTTATTAGAATTAAATGAAAAATTGACACTCAGTAGGACACGATGGAGAAAAATGATTGATGTAGCTGACCCCCATTAGTGGCATAAAAGCTTCTTATTGTTGTTGTTGGGGTTTGTTGTGCTCGGGTGTTTAAACTGTAAGCAAAGGAGCTTTTGTGCGACTTTTGTTAATAACCACGTGTCTACACTAAATATTGCCCCTATTTTTTATTATTAGAATATACATAAAAAAATGGTTATATGGAAAATATATGGAAAACATGCAAATTTATCTTCCATATCATTGTATTTTGTTATACTTCATATTTGATGGTATGTGTGTGCGTGTCTCTATATACACATACATTCATATAAATAATTGACATAGTTTTCTTTTCTATGATAGGATTGAGGAAAGAACGAGTTGCATTTGGGGCAGTTATATTCTTACTAGCTTTCCTTTATGCTTTTTGGCGCATGGGAATTCACTTTCCTATGCCTTCTCCTGAGAAAGGTGGGTTTATATAATTTTAAGCATTGATCTTTATAATTTTATGCTCAAATATAGTTGTATCCACCTTTCTTATGATTATCAAATTTACAATGTTTTTGGTGGATGCTTTAATTGGCATTTTATATTTTTGAGGCTAATCATTGTTTTCTATTGCATTGAACTTTTAAATACTGCTTTAATTTTTTGATTTAGATTGTTTTTGTTAGTGTAGGAAAACCTATTTTAGTTGTTGCTTTCCACTTAGCCCGCTCACGATCTCATTGTTTGTTGGGATCTTAAATACTTGGTCGGTCTCAAATGCTCTGTTGTGATCTTGATCCACCCACTTGCTTGTGATCTCTCATGCTTGTGACTAATCTCTCTTGAAATTTTTCTCCTTATGCTAGCTCCATATTCAATGACATTTGACTATCTCATATGACCACACCAAGTGCGCCCACTCGTAACCCTACCATTTGCGCCTGCCTTCTGTACGCAGCCAACACAGATGTGTGGCACCTTATTGTGCTGGCTTGCGTTGCATATTGTTTTCTTGCTCAACCCTCACATATCACTGCATGTGTACACCACACCCTTTTACCCATCCATTTTAGTTGATGTTACCCTTTGCCTAATACCCAGGCTATGATTCTTCCTCAATGCTTAATCTGTTATTTTCTTCCACTCTCAGTCCAATAAATACCATAATAAAATACAATGGTTCCAATTATCTCTTATGACTGAGGGCTTATGCTTTCTTTTCTATTCTAATGATAAACTCCATCACTTTTATATATATCCTCTAGATCACGATGGAATTGTTAAACTACCATAATGGTAAACATTTGAATTCATTAGTTTTACCTGGTTACTCAATATTTTTGATCCTTCAATTGTTTGAATCGCCATGTTTTAAAGGTTAACATGAAGATGCAATCTTTCTTTGTTCCAATTATTTTTAACAAAATGTATCTCCCATTATATTACTTCTATTTTGATATTTCTCTTCATCATTATGACCATCCAGGAATATTATAAGCTCGCTGTTCAAATTTGTTCGATTTGATAGTCTATTAGAAACAAAACGAGAATTTTTTTTTTCTAATTTGTCTCTAAATCTTATCCCTCAAACATCCACAACCCAAAATTTTGGCAAATTAAGAAAAAGGTCAAACCAATTCCAAGATTATTTAAATGAAGCCATTTTAATCCTAGCTATTAATGCGTCCAATTTAAGGAAAAAAATTGCGCACATAAGACGTACGCAGAGCTGCGTACGTCTGTAACCTGAAAATAGGTTACAGGGAGGATATTTGGAGGTTATAACCGCGTTATAGCTCCTGTAACCTCCCTGTAACCTACCTGTATCTTTTAGTAAGTTCCGCGCTTCTGTTTTCATATATAGGTAGGTTACAGGGAGTTTACAGAGGCTATAACGCGGTTATAACCTCCGAATATCCTCCCTGTAACCTGTTTGCAGGTTACATACGTACGCAACTCTGCGTACGTCTTATGTACGCAAATTTTTTTCCCAATTTAATCCTATGATTTATCAAATCTTATCTAGAATAGTCCATTGTCTCTTGAAATTTGATTTGAAGTAATCCAATATTTGGAGGAGACTAAATTGAATACAATAGATAGCTGAGACTAAAATGATCCCGCATAAGTCGCCTAAGGATTATTTTGACCTTTTTCTCATAGTTAATTCCATAATTCCCAACATTGCAACTAATTTCCTCTAAGTTCTTTAGGTTGCTAAGCTTTTGATTTTTTATTCTTTGATTTTTATTTAATATGCTTTTACTATGAGAGATCTTGGTGGTTGTTTCCATAGTGATTGATTTGACAATGTTTGCGGTTGTGGGAGACCAATATTTTTACTCGCTAGTATTGTGCCCATGCCAATCATCCTTCTGAACATTATTGGGCTAAATTCAGTTATACCTCTACTACCTTGCATGCCTTTGGCTTCTCTATGTTTACTATCGAGACTTCCACTTCTATCATCTCTTCACGGTTTGTCAGTTTCTCAAAAAATTTATGATCACATTGTTCAACATTTTTATAGATCTCTGCTTTCCTCTGCCACTCTTTCTTAGTATAATTATGCTTGCATTGTTCAACATTTTTTAACAGTTTTAGCAGCCTCCCATGCCATTTCCTCTTTTGGGTTTGTTATAGCTTTGTCTTCTTGTACACGTTGGATTTAGATTCTATTATTTTTTCACACATGATAAGTAAATGATAATTTCCCCCTTCCTCGACTTTTATTTGCACTAGCTTTCACTTTTGCTATTGTTTCTACCTTTCCTATGCCTTGGAAGGCTTGCTCCTTCTAGATGTTTTATATGGATCTCAGAGTGAGTAAGATGTCTGGTAGAGGGTTGAAGTATATGGAATTTATGGCTTGACATATGAGGTCCTTCAATCTTCTTTTTATCCAAATTTGAATATGATGCCTCTAAGTTAGATAAACTTCATTAGGTATTTTCTTTCTTCTATGATGAGTTCTAGTGGTTTTTTTGGAGTTAGTTCCTCTAATATTATTGGTCCAAGTCATTCTCATAGGGTTTAGATTTTTTATTTTTTTTTTGCTAATAATCTGTAATAACTGAATTTTAAATAAAAGGATAAAAGAATAATAATACTAATAATAATGAATTCGAGATGTTAGGATGATTCGTTAAGTAAAATCGAGAGGGGGAGGGCATCTCTCGATCGTTGTTCACTCCTAACCATCACAGAGCAAACAAAGATTGAGAGTGAGAGAGAGCGAGAGAAGAATCAAAGAGGGAAGAAGAAGTTGAAGGAGAAGGAAAACTTCGTGCCCTAGTCGAACGGCTTTGCTAGTCTTCGTGTGTGCAGACGAAGAGGAGGAAGGAGTTGTGTGCATGACTCCGGATAGAATCGGGAGCCGAAGCCTCTATGTGAGGTTGAGTTCGCTGAGACCAAAGGATTCAAACCAGGTGTGCACAAAGGAAGAGGAGGAAGAAGATTCGAACCTTGCGTGCACTGCTCTGTTGAGTTTTCTCGAGCTGCGACCGATGGAGAAGAGGAAGGCTAGTTTAGCTTCTGGCGGTGCTCACATGCTAGAAGAAGGAAAGATGACATGAGCTGCTCTGTGTCAAGTTTAGATTGAGAGGTGGAAGGGCCGAGCCAAAGCTAAGGGAGGAGAAACATCGAATGTGAGTTTGGGTAGGGCAGACTTGAGGAAGCTAAGTAATGTTAAAATAAAGTTTACTTGAATTAGGAAGTACTTGACGTTCGTGAGTTATTGTTTTGAAATTAAGGGGAGAAAAAAGGAGCCTTCTGAAAGAACAAACCAGACCTTTTAAGATAAAGAATAATATACTGATTATTATGTGTCAATTTAATGATATGCTGATATGTATATTTAAGCTTTCTTTAGATGAGATTATTATAATAATTTGCACATTTAATTAATATAGGTGGTTGGCCAAAGAAGTTAGTGGAGAAGTATTTCAAAAGTCTCTTGTAAAGAAAAATGAGTGATTATTTTCTTTTATATATTAAATTAATACATCAGTAAATGAATAATTGCTTTATTAAATGGTTTAGAACAAATATTTCATTTATGTCTAACATTTTGAATATCTGAAATGGTATTATAAATGGGAGAAAAATAATAGACATATGAATATATATTTTTATAGGTTTTAAATTGATATAAAATGAAATATAAATTTTAAGTTATATAAGATTGTCCCCAGATGATACTAACAGGGGATGCCGTGCATATTAAAGGAAATGGTAAAGGTGTACCTTTGGGTGCAAATTGACGGTATTTTCGGGTACATTGTTTTTTGAGGGTACCTACGAGCACATTTGGAGAATACCTTTGAGTATATTTGTATGATACCTTTGCATAAGACGGTAATCCTGTCATGACTATTAAGAATATTAAAATGGTAAATGCTTAAAGTGAAACGGGAAAGAATAAAATTAATGTGAAAGTTTAAGGTTTTATAAATTAATAAGCATCGTTTTCTTGTCGTCATTTATGCATAACATAAATATCATAATTTAATGCATAATAAAATTTTAATTACTCGTGAAGTCAAACTTATAAACACTGCCGTTGCCGGTCCCAAGCCCGGATGAGAAAAGTGGAGGGTTGCGTTAGGTAGTCGACAGCCAGCGTAAAACTTGTCGAAAAAATCATGACATGAATCCTTTTGATCATTGTGTAAGTGCTAGGGCGTCCCCTAGAAGCGACGCGCTGTATAGCCTGAATACAGTGAAAAGTGTGCAAGGGCCGCTACACCGGCGCCCGGGTGTAGTGTTAAATAAGCAAGGGTTCCCACATTACGGGCGAATGCGGGTAAAGAAGTTAGTCCATGAAACTAATGAAACTAATATTAGGATAGGATCTTGGAATATAGGCACTCTCAATGGTAAATTAATGGAATTAGTTGATATTATGATTCATAGGAAAATTAATATCTTATGTATTCAAGAAACTAAGTGGGTGGGAGAAAAGGCTAAGGAGATTGATAATTTAGGTTCCCCCGGTCTGTCCGGCCTGCCACAACCATCTGTCCAGAATGCCTCCACAGCTTCATTTCTAGGTCTCCGTCGCAGCACCTCTTGCAGTCCTTCCGCCGCACGAATATATGACATATATCGAAATCGAGTGTAAAGGAGGAAGGGAAATGTTTGTGGTGTGTATTCATTGCATTTGCTTGGAGCATTCATTGCATCTTTGGACTATATCTCTATACCTAACTGTTGGGACGTTGCTAAAGAGGATCCTAAGTTGAAAGTGGCGATGCATTAAGAGCTTGAAGCTCTTGATAAAAATTGAACATGTGAGATTGTACCACTACCAGCAGAGAAGAAGACAATAGATGCAAGTGAATAGTCATGGTAAAGCAAACTCCAGAATGGAATACAGAGAGACACAAAGCATGAGCAGTGGAAAAAGGTTACATTTAGACACATGACATTGACTACGATGGAACTTTTCCACCAACAGCAAAGATGAGCACGATGATCACACTGGCTTCTCTAACAGTGAATGGTGGATGGAGACTCCACTAACTGGATATAAAGAATGCTTTTGATACTTTTGTGATTATGAATAGAAAGGTATATATGGAGATACCAGCAGAATTCAGTACATCCTAGACAGTGGGCAAGGTGTGTAGGGACATGAAGTCAATGATGGCATGAAGTATTCTTCTTATGCCTTGTTTGACAAGTTTAGAATTATAATAGTTGGCATGAGATATCGGTATCAATGCATTCCGCAAGGTATTCTTTCGACAACATGAAGGGAACACTATCATTTTGTTGTGTATATGGATGAAATAATTGTCATTGGTGATGATGAGGCAAAGACTGCCCAACTAGAGGGAAGAATGGGAAGACATGTTAGGTAGAGGATTTGAGATAACTCAGATACTTTCTTGGGATTAAAGTAGCTCATGGACCTGAGGGGATGGTTCTATCCTAGAGAAAGTACGTATTGGATATTCTCACGAAGACATGTATGCGAGAGTGTAAACCTGTCATCTCTCTAATTGATCGGAATGTCAAGGTCAGTATAGAGGTAGGTGAATCAATTGAACATGGGAGGTATCAGAAGCTAGTGAGCTGCCTAATTTATTTGTGTCACACTCGATCTGATATTTCTTTTGTAGTAAGTGTGGTGAGCCACTACATGCAGTATCCAAAGAAGGGTCATATGGATGCAACATATCAGATTTTGTGATATCTGAAGAGTGCACCAGATAAATGGTTGATATCCAGAAAGAATGGGCAAGTAGATATTGAGGGCTTTTGTGATTCGGACTGAGCAAGTTGTGTCAATGACAGATGGTCTATATCAGGATACTACATGTTTGTAGATGATAACTTGGTCTCACGGAAGAGCAAGAAATTGCCAGTTGTATCAAGATCAACAATAGAAATAGAATACATAGCCATGACATTAGGATTTGTGGAGATAATGTGGTTGAAAGCCTTGTTAGTTGAACTCAAAGTTGATCATGGAACTCAAACGAAGTTGTGGTGTGACAATAAGTTGGCAATCAACATTGCTAACTACCCGGTGCAACACAATAAAACTAAACATGTGGAGGTTAGTATATTCTTCATCAAGGAGAAGCTGAATAATAGAGTGTTGAAACAAAGTCATGTAGCTACTAGAGAGCAGGTGGCAGACTGCCTCGCTAAAGTACTTAGTGCAGTGAAGTTAGCTATATTTTGTGGCAAGATGGGCTTAGTGAATATCTTTTTCCCATCTTGAGGGAGAGTGTTGAAAGTTGTGTAATAAGAGGGTTTTGTTGGGTTTATTTTCTTAAATATTGTAAACGCTATTTAAAACACATATGTTGAATGAAATACCTAATTTTTGGCTTATTTCTTCCTTCTTTTTTTATTAGTTGGAGTGAGATTTGTAATATAGAGATTTATAAGTTAATAAAAGTGTTACGGTTTGATAATTATATTTTGGGTGTTTATATGCTAACAGTAACGTCCAAACAAAAAACTATTAACCGCCAAAACCAAAGAATTACAATTGTCGAAGAATCCGACATTGGAAGCATGATTTTTCGTCGATCATTATGCAATTATCCCAAAAACAAAATAATAATAATACTTGTCAAATAAATTTTAAAAATAACTTTTTAAGATTTATATAATTATGATAGAGAACACTAATTATGATAGAGAACACGGAGATACATATTAAACCAAACAAGAATGATAAATAATTTTTTATTATAATTACTTCCTACATATTTTTTCTAAGCAATTTATTTATTGTGCTCATGGAAATGGAATAATAAGTTAAATGTTTCCGAGATGAGAATGATTAGGTGGATGAGTGGCTTTACTCTTAGAGACAAAATGCGGAATGAATATATTCGTGATAGGGTTGGTGTAGCTCCTGTGACAGACAAAATTAGAGAAAGTCGTCTTAGATGGTTTGGTCATATTAAACGTCGACCATTAGATGATCCGATTAGGAGAGTAGATGTTTTAAATTCGACTTGTGTTAAGAAAGGCAGAGGTAGACCTAGGAAGACTTGGGCTTATTGTATTAAAAATGATCTTAATTTACTAGAACTAAATGAAAATATGACACTAAATAGGACGCAATGGAGAAAAAGGATTCATGTAGCCGACCCCACGTAGTGGGATTAAGGCTTTGTTGTTGTTGTTGTTGTTGTTGTGAAGTCAAACTTATAGTTGAAATTATTGTTTTCTTTCAGGAGAAGAAAAACTTTAGTTGATATGTTTGGTTGGAGGTATTTGGTTTACAGGACTATATTTGATAGGTACTAGTTATGTTGTGTTTGTAGTTTTTTTTTTTATTGTTTTCTTCAGATATTGATATGCTGTTCAGTACTGGTTTGAGATGTAATTTTCAGATTATGTTGTTGTTTCTGGATGCTTATTGCACTTTGCGTATTTTAGTGGCCCTTTTATAAATTGGAAGATTCTATAATTATGTGGATAGTTGTGTAAAGGTTATACTCTCCGACTGCTGTTCCTGATTTGGTTAATTTCAAGCTATTAGACCGTGTCATGACATAATCACTTCGGAGCCACATGGATATATTTTCTCATGTATAAGTTCGAAGTCTTGTTTACATTCCACATCTTTTTATAGAAAAAATATTTATTTTTCTATTATGGTTAAAATTTTTTGTATTAATAATGCTTTAGAGTTTATGTTGTTTTAATTTAACTCGTCTCCATGTCAATATGAAGCTTATTTAATAAAATTCGTGTATTTTTATATTTTAACAGAATGATGCTATTAAATGCAAGCATTATTTTTTTTTGACTTTGCCCAATTCTTGATGTTCCATATGAATGTTTCATGTTCATTTCTGGAGGCAATTTTTACTGCATGCTGCCTTATTAATCATGTCATGTTTCACCATTGGTATATTACCTGCTTCTCCATTCTCTATCTTGGGAAAGGCCCATTTTCTTGCCACACTTGAAGATTTTAGTTTTGTCTGTATTGTAAATTCCTTTCTAATTGGCGAAAAACTCTTCTTGTACTATTTAGTATACTGTTACAGGCTCTCATTCTTTGAATGTTGTCAATCCTATGTCCAAACTACCCAACTTGTTATATATTTCAGTGGATGCTATATTTTTGAGTTCTCTCCTTACTTTTCTCCACCTCCTTTTGGAACATCAACTCCACCTGCTCTTATTTTTCTTGAAGCATATTTACATCTCCAACTCTAGAGGTATACATATAAAGACCTTGTCTTCTTGCTACTACAACTCCATTCATATTATTTGACTCGGCTGAGCATCTACTTCTTGGAGAAATCTCTGCACTCTCTCTCTGTTGTCCTTTCATAAGGTATTTGACAATGTGCTAATTACCTTTTTAGTCTTACATGTTTTCTAACCATCTATTTTCCAGCTTCCTGTATTTTTCTTTATCTTTGTCAGGAGTTTTTATTCCCAGGACACGACTGGAGCACTACAAGATTTCCTATAAAAATAAGCTATTGATGCTGTATAATATGCATAGAAATCTCTACCCCCCTTACAACAATTGATCTTGTTGATTTCATGAAAAAAATAAAAATAAAAACTAAGCTACAATTTTGTATTTAGAGTTTTTACTTGAGGGTACAAATTGCGAAACAAATATATCTGGGAAAGGGTTGTAGTAGCTCCAATGATAGACAAAAATAGAGAGAGTCGTCTTAGATGGTATGACTATGCTAAACATCAACCACCTGATCCTAGTTAGGAGAATAGATGTTTTAAATTTGACTTATGTTAAGAAAGGTAGAGGCAGGCCTAAAAAGATTTGTGCATGTTGTATAAAAAATAATCTTAATTTATTAGAATTAAATGAAAATATGACACTCAATAAGACTCATTGGAGAAAAAAGATTCTTGTGGTTGACCCCACTTAGTGGGACAAAGGCTTGTTGTTGTTGTTGTTTTACTTTTAGGGTTTAACATTTTTGGTCTTGGGCGGTGTTGTATATTCAAGGTTGCTGGTGATGGTCACATATGAGTTGTCTAGCCTCTTAATTTATGGTGATTTAACCAATCATTTTGGGCCCCATGGTGGTCATGTTATTATTGTGCCACCATATTTTGTTTTCCTAGTAATTTGTGAAAAAATATTTTTTTTTTCCAATAGTCTTGTTTTGTTCTCACAAAAATCTAGCAACAAGTCAACATTTGTATCATTACACTAGTGAAAATTATTCCGGAATGACTACTTTGCATATCTGTTACCTTCTATGAGCTATCTCTGATATTAATGTATTTCTTTTGCATGACTAGTGAATGGTGAACTTACATTTTCTTGCTATTTTTTATCCTATGTACACTAAAATGACCTAAATGATTTGTGTGATTTGTTCTGTTTTTATATTGTTTTTTTTCTGAACTCTGTATCAGTTAAATCCTCACGATTCTTGTAACTTTGACGTACGTTTTGTTTCAGGATTCTTCACAATGCCTCAGTTAGTTAGTAGAATTGGAGTAATAGGCGTAACTGTAATGGCCGTGCTATCTGGGTTTGGAGCTGTCAACCTGCCTTACAGTTATTTGTCCCTGTTCATCAGGTGCCTTTCATTTGTAGCCATAAATATATTACTTCATAAATGTAATCAATGGAACTATTTTTGCTCGTCAGTCTTGGTTTTGGATGGGACATGCATATGATAACCAACAGGGTTTAACAAAATTAAAATTATCACCAAATATAGTCTCAATGTTATGGAATTGCGAAGAATTTCATTGAGCTGATTTTTTGAATTTTCCATGTTACCTATCCCACTTATAATCTTCCTAATTACTCGTATACCACTGAAATTATTATCCCCTTCCAAGCCAGCATTCTGGTTAATAGGCTCAATGGGCCATGCTTTTGGGGATGGTTGCCTTGTGTTGGGTATGGTTATCAGTTCATTACAGTTTTACATGCAAGGCTGGTATGACCGGAATGATTTGGCGGTATAAGTTTGTATGTTTAATGTAGGAGCAATTACATCATTGCACTTGAAACATTGCTAGTTAAAAATCTAGCACCCTCTTTCATCCTTATTTGACATTCTTCTCAAATATCAAAATCTACGATAAAACCAAAACCCATATTTTTCATTTATATCAAATTCGCAATGGTTTGATCTCATAAATGCATTAATCCAATAGTTCAAAAAAAAAAAAAAAAAACTTGATGCTAGTTTTGTAAATAGAAATATTTCAAGTGCTATGCATGTAATTATCCCTTTAATGTCTTTATGTAGCTTTCATTTTGATATAGGAAGCATAGCAAGTTATTAATGTTATTCATACAAATGAATTGTCATTGCAAATGTTATCACGGATAAAAGCAAGTGTATAAATTTAATGACAATGTGTCCTTCACCCTTATCTCTGTTCTTCTATGGATCGCATTATTCACTTGCTTATGGCTAATTTTTTTTCCAGATTCTCTTCCTTGAAGGTGCTATTTGCAATAAAAATAAAAGGCGAAACTACAAAGGAGAGCTAGAAAAACTACCCAAAAGAATCAGCGTGATTGACATCTTCCTCAATCACGCTAAAAAAATCAGGGTCAGAAGTATGAACCTCCCATAAGAAAGACCTTTCTAAAGCATGCCTCACACAAAAATGGGCCACTTTGTTACAATTTCTATGACAAAAAACAAAAAGAAATTGTCTAAACTATAAAAAAAAGTAATATCCACAACCTTGTGTAGCTTTGTTACTTAGTGTGTGTGTGTGTTTTTTCCTTCATATGCTTTTGCAATAGGATTTGGAAGAGTACATGAAATATTTCAAATGAATTTATTTTGGTTGATTAGAAGTAAATGGAGATTGAAACAAATCATTATTCTATATTGATATTTTGATTTTTTAATAATCACTTGAGTAATGAAACATTTAAAATAAGGGGCCTTTATATACCTATCACCCAATTCTTATGTATAACATGTCAACAACCCAAACTTCAATTTTTACCTACAAACCACCCGATTCCTATGTTTTTGACATAGGTTGCGAATATTAGTTTGAAACGTAATAGAACAAGCCACTTCGAGAAGGAGTTGATTTTCTCGCTCGACTACCCCATTTTGTTGAGGGTATTCGTACAGGAGCTATGATGGAGGATGCTCTTATTCACCAAGAATTTTTTCAAAATAGAGTTAAAGTACTCACGACCATCGTCGGTTCGAAGGACTTGAATGGGAGGCTTTGAATTGAGTCAAAATGAAGGAGTAGAAATTTTTGAAAGTGATTGCAACTTTAGATTTATCCTTTAATATATAGACTCAAGTCATCCGAGTGTGATTATTAATTAGACTAAGAAACTGCTGTTTATTGGTGTAGCTGACAATTCGAGAGGTTCTTATAAATCACTATGAATCAATAAAAATGTTGAGGAATGAGTGTAATGGTGGGGTGGATATGGTACACGATGCTATTTAACTAAATGAAAAATTTCATATTTAAGAGTAGATGAATTTTTATCAATAAAGATCAGAGGGTGCAATTATTTTAAATAGTGAAAACTGAGATGACCCAAGCTAAAATGTAAAAGTATAATGGGACAAGTAGTAGAGAGAGAATACTACAATTATGAGTTTGCGTGTACGTGTCATCAATGTCATTTTTGTGGAAGAAGTATAGCTCGACTACCCGCTTAGCAGTTCCAAGCATCATCCCCGAATGACAATTCTGAAAGACACAAACATCAGGAGAAAAATAAGCAACACAATCAATGTCATATTTCAACTTACTGACCGATAAGAACTTACACTTAAGGCAAATGTTCATGTAACACGGATTCTAGAGTCAGCCTGTACTAACTTGTTAGTACAATCGACCATTTACTCGCAATGGAATTATAGGAGCCGTCTATAATTTTAATAATGTCTTAATCCATAATTCCATTTATGTGGTTTGGTAGGAAGATTTCTGTGCTTACTCAATATATGGAATTATGGATTGAGTTGGAAGAATTTCGAATTTAATACGAATTTGGAAATATTGACGATGTTCTCCCCGCGTTTATTTTCCTTTCAAAGTTTGGAAAATTTTAAATCTCATTTTGGAAGAGTATTTGGTCGATTTGATTAGTCCCACGTCATTGGGGTTTGGAGAATCAACGCGAATGGATGTTTTATGTTTGTCAGGAAAGACCCCGGGCCCTACTTTTCCAGGTCTTTCCGATAGGAGTCTTTTGAGAGCTGATCCAGTCTTCTTTTTCGTTGTTTTAGATGGATCAGTGTCTCCTCTCTCTCACCCCATTTTTGTTCTTTTATTTCCTTGCTTCTTGGTTCGGTTTTCGATGCTTATGTACGAGGCATAAGT